AATAAACAGAAAATTCAGTCGTGAGACAGGATTTATGTCACACTCGTGAAATAAATTCCATATCCAACTATAAAACATTGAAAATCCCCTATTCACGCTCATATCACTTATCACCACATGTCATTCGGATCTATGTCACAAATTTATATGATCTTTCAAAATAACTTATTTATCGGGGTTTTTTTTTTCGAAAATGGGACTGTGTTTATCCACTTATTTTGAAACTCAATTTAAAAACGCAACATCCCTCTATCTTTCTCAAACAAAGATTTCTAGAATCTTAATATCCCTTCACAAAATATATAGATGACTTAAGTCATTCAGTTGTGAATATAAGATGGGAATTCCTTCATGAGATCCTTTAAGAGGATCTTTTTACCTACTCAGTATTGTCTTTAAACAGATGGACAATGATAAACATAACATCAAGAAAATCTTAATCCTGGTTCTTGCATGTCTATACATATTTTTGCATTCAGTTTTAGTTGCAGGTGTATTTGTCATAATAATGTCATGCGCTACGAAACTTGTTGTTGTGAATCAAAGTTACTCTATATTTTGTATCTGGGTCATCCATTTCTGCTATAGTTATATAATAGTCACACATTATTTTGAACTCTGTAAAGTAGAGCATAGTCTTATCTGTACTATCTAGATTTGCATATATCATGGCCCAGAAACCTATATGTGGTATTTTTCGTTTTGCTAAAGTTGAAAAATCTTCTACATCAAATTACAACATATATAAATGTAAATATACAACCCAGAAAAGATATTTCTTTTATTATTTTGGAGAAGTATAACTTTTAGGATCTTCTTGATTCTAGTTTATTACACAGGTATCACCTTCATTCTTCTATGGAAGTAATTTAAATAGAATAAACTGTTGCTCACAACACTTTCTTTTATAAATTAGGACATCTACATATTCTATATTCTTGACCTTCTTTTACGATTAGATAGCATTCAAGTTTTATCAACTGAGAGGATTAAATCAATTTTACAAACCGAGGCCATGGTTCACATAAAACATCTGTACTTTCTATCATTGCTTTTCATTGTGGAATGTCAAAAGTAAGTCTAATTCTATGATAGTATACTTTCTACAAAATAAATGTAAAATAGGTCACTTCTTGCTGAGAAAAAAAATTAGTTTGCAATTTTTTTTCTGAGCGAAATTAAAGGTTGGAATAATGACGAAGACTACAAAATCTCTACAATTTTAGGGAAAAAATTCCTTCCAAAATTTCATACATGTACTTTTATACTCGTTAAATTCTTTATAAACAATTGCAGTTAGAAACATTAATTTGATCCTTCCCGTTTAAAGCTAAAAAATGATCAATTTAGTTTCAGTTAAACTTTTAAGCCTCAAAGCTGATGATTTTTTATTCGGTTCTCACCCAGCAATTTTTTCATTCTTATAATGAACAAATACATTATATGCTGATATGGATATTTTAAATTATTTTTCTTATTTAATTGAATAAAACATTTTAGACGGTAACACTTTGATGTGATTGTATATGTGAATAAAAACTTAAGTCAACTTTTGCATTTTAACAAATAGTTATTAAAGACAGAATGGAAACAGCCAACAAAGCATTTTTCGTATAAGCATAATGTATCCTCAAAATTAACAACAAGCAAATTTTTTTTACAAAACAGGATAGAGATTCTGGTAAAACTGCCGATAACTTTAAATTTGGCATATTTAAAAGTTAAATGATTCGTCGTGTGTTTCAAGTGTATAATTTCTGGTAATACTATACTTTTGCCTCCTATTAAGCCATTTTACAACTCTTCTGGCTTTTTTTTTTTTTTTTGGTTTAGACTGATTAAGGTGGATTCTTATCATTCCCTCGTCTCACACTTGGAGGAGGGGGCAGATATCAGCTTTTTCTTTAACACTGCCAGTTGTGCACCTTCCATTTTATCAAACACAGCATCGCTGATATCTACTTCAGAATATTTCCCTGTATTTGGTGGTGAACTGAAGTTACATATTTCTATAAATACATCTGACGAAAAAACTGGACAGACATTCTTCAGCCAAGTCCGATACATTGATGAAAAACCAAACGGTTAGTATTAATTTTGTTCTATGGATATTTTCTGGAATTTAGAATCATGATATTCCAGGTAAACATTTGACTTTGAAAAATTCTAAAAAGAATACCCAGATGAAAGATATCAATAACCAAATTTATTGCACTGATATTTTGTTCTCCAGACCTGCGTGCCTTTAACCATTAAAAGTAATACTTAAATATAGCATTCAACAATCCTTTTGTCATTTAAAAGGACAGTGGAACATCAAATTAACATTAAATGCGTTAAAAGTATTTCATTTTCAAATTCTTTTTACAGTCTTGAATGAAGAAATAGAAAAAATATGGATAACCAATGATACGGCATTTATATTTTGGGGAAAATCTGGCTTCTTTGTGAATAATACTGCTGATATTGACTTAGTAGCTTGTAACTGGACAACAGGCGAAGGAAAGTATGATATCTCCATATATCGTCTTAAACAGAGAATAATTCAAATTATTTATCGAAATGAATCAGATATTTATCTCTCCTTTAGATATATCCAAATAATACACCATCAAGTTAGTAAAACACAAATTAAACAGTAAGAATATGATTATTTTGTTTCAGTCATGGTATACCCAATATTAGATATATTTTTTTTGCATTAATCCCTGAACATTTCAAATAAAAGATTTGTAGACGGATTTTTGTGTTTCTGGATGAAAAACATCATTACATTTGAACAAAGTCTTTATTATTTATTTTGACTCAGATCACAAGTTAGAAAGTCTTCAATTATTGTAAGTTTTCTTTCGCAGTATATGGATCAAGCAAAAGAAAGAACACAAAAAGCTGAATTCATTCAAGGATATTAAGACTGTGTTGACTTCTGGTGAGAAGGTCCGTTGGGTCGTAAAAACTAGAGGATGTAAATGTCCACCAGATGTTGACGTGTGTGGGGACGCTTCCATCGGTGATACCATTAGAGGTAGCTGACAACAAAGTCTTAAAATGTCTGCAATCTCTTACCACTGTAGGCCCTCTAGCAAGTAACTGTAAGAACAACTTTCTAGACGGATTGATTATGTAAGGATAAACAAGTAAATTTTGCATAAAGTGCATTTTGAATATTAATTAGCATGTCTCACATTCTCTGTTTTGAATGACATGTTAATTAATGAACAATATGATTAGGAGAATTCCTTTCGGGACAACAAATATCCGTAAGAGGAATCGTTCCCCACAATTCAACCAAAATATAAAAGGGGGGGGGTACCACGTCATCCTCTTTGGAAGGAACTGTTATATTAATAAAGGATTAAACATTTCTTTTTTGTAGTTTTACTGTTGTCTAAACACACTGCAACTTGTGTGTATTTAAACTGAGGTGCGTCTGAGTGTGCAAAAATTATTTCCAGTTTTCGAATCTAATCGGATCTTCCATACTTTAGATATCTAAATATATACTCATACTATAAATATCATTACAGTAATTTGAGATTTAAAGGGGCCCGGACACAGATTTCAAATTAATATTTTCTCAAATTTTCTGTATAATGCCATGACTTATATGTTCCTACAACATTTCACATGGAAATATTATAAAAAGCGTGTTCAGAAATTTCTGAAACTATGAATTTCGGGACGCGTTTGATTAGCACATCCTTGCACTTTCCCAAAGTAAACTTTATCGTTAATACTTAAGAAAAGTAGAAATTGTGTTGTATAATACTAATGAAAACTATAATCCAGAAAGAAATCTCAGAGTAAAAATGTGAGAAAGCAAAACAAACTCACCAGTATTGTCACTCCGTGCTCAGTGATGTGTGCAGAGTTTAAGAAATTGAATACATCCTGGTGAAACAATAACAGAGCTCGTGCCCTGTTTACAAAAACAGATGTTTGACGTGATGTAATGTCATTGAATTCTAAGAATATTCATGTAAGTTCAATTCATTTTACTGATTTTATTTTTTGAATAAACATAGAAATTTAAAATGTAAACAATGCGACTGTGTCCAGGCTTCTTTAAAAAATATCCTATAACTGCAGTGACGTCGAGGATTATATATCAAGGTGTCGAAAGTCTGACATGTATAATCACATCAATGAATTAATAAACGATTAAGCAAATATCTTATACAAGATAAGCACTAATGAGTATTTCGTTAAAATTCCATTATGTTAGAAATTTTTTTTTTTATTAACAAAAGTGCGACACTACATTTTTTGTATTAATTTTTATCATTTAATTGAAGTTACTTTTACAATAAATATACAAATTCAAAATTGTAAAACAAAACGGCAATGCAATTATGTCCAATTCTATTCAAAAATGTAATTCACTTTAACCCGAGAGTCTATATGCAAAATATTCCCCAAACATGTTTTTCCTTCTTTTTTCAGATTTCAAAATCATGACAGATGGTTCAATAAGTTTTTCTACATCCATGGCAATTCAGGCTTTCCTTTCTTGGCAGTATATTCGAATTATTGTTTTTGCCCATATTTATAATAATAACATGGCAAATCTTACCCTTTCCTACCTGGATCCTACCACATGGAATGATACAGAGGATCACTTTATTACATGTCCAATAGCTTCAGGGCTTTCCATTGAAGGAGCAAACTTTTTTACTGTTAATTCATAAGTGTGTGTGTGTGTGTGTGTGTGTGTGTGTAGAACGAGGATAAGATCTACAAACGTTTTCCTTACGAGACATAATATGTATTTTCTTTATTACATTTTATTATATTATTTCAATTGTTATATAAATTCACACATCTACATGTAATGGGTAATGCTATCATATTTTATTTCGAGATAAATGTTAATTTAAAGTTAATGTCATACTGCAATAATATTTAATTACAGTAAACAAAGGAACAGTAAACAAATTTCCTAATATATAGTGGATTATTCTTGGTATCTGAATGCATATGAAAGTTTAAAATTCATGAAATGTTATCTACTGTCATTTAATAATCTTTGAATTTACTAGTTACATTTATAAACATTTATATAAAAATTAATTTTGATTAAATATAATATCTGTTGATTCAAACGTTTTTCAGTCCATTTATGGTACATAGCGAGGTGAAAAGGGTAACTGAGTTTTAACAGATATTTAGTTTACATTAAAAGAGAAACAGTAAATTTGTTGACTGTTAAATTGTCATATTTTCGAGTGGCACTTCGGCGTATTTTAAGTTCACCCTATGGTGATCGGAATCAGTCTTATTTGCGGATTTCCAATCCTTCCAGTTTCTCGTCCATATATGAAGACAGATTAAACACAGTAAACCAACAAATTTCACAGCAAGGGAAAATCCATGGAAAGAAAGGCGTAGCTGTCGGAGGTCATACAGTTCACACGCACCAAAAGATGAGCAAGGAAATTGCCATATGTGACAAGATGCATCTAATACCTTGCCAAACAACACTGGCGATAAACCCCAGCCTGGAATAAATTAATAATAATGCTACAGAATAGATGTCCGTTCAGATTAAATAGCACCAGAAACTATACAGCTCATGTTTTCATACAAAACAATAATACAAAAATTTGATTTCAAATCAATTTATACGAAAATAAAACATTTTTGTAAAATTAGAAATGAATTGAAAGTTTCTGCCATTATTCCTTATATCTTTATGAACAAGTATTTGTGAACAACTGAAAATGTTCTTTACATCAGTATAATTTACATCCTCTCTCAACCCTTAATATAAGATCTTAAACTGTGGCTTCTGGGTTGATAGTTGTACCTAGTTGTATGTATGATGTGTATAAATCATCCATCTGAAAGGCTCAGGGTTATTTTCTATTTACGGTTAGAGACTTCAACAAGGAGAATATAATAATACTGTTAATAACTGACATGAAGGATATACTGTGATTCCATTATAATTCATCGGGATCAATGTTCGTGGAGAACCAAAATTTTATTTTAAACCGTACATACACGGATTAAATTAACCGCCCGTTGACAAAGTTGATCTAAATTCGTCGGTAGAGGAATACCAACGAATTCCACGAACATTGGTTCCCCATGTATAATGATGATTCCACAACAGATTTCTTACCAAGTGCAGAAGCTAGACAGGTGTTGAGACCAATAGCTGCTGCTTTATTGATATCATCAACAGACCTAGAGAAGGAGATAAAAAAAAATGCTTTCAGATTTATTTGGTACAAGCATGGGAGAAAAATGTTATTAGAGACTTTGTATTTAATTATTTTGGGTTGAACTGTAAACGTAGTGAACTTATTATCTTTTCCTTAACAAACAATACTATAACATGTATTTCCAAGCATACAATGCCAAGACTACTTTCGAATTACAGAATAAAGAGTTATCATTTCTTTCCATAAAAAACATAACTATCGTTAAAATTGATTTACGAGGGGTGATCAAAAAGTTCGCGAACTATCTCTATATTTAAAAAATCACAATTCAGATCAGAATGATATTTCGCACACATATAATCATACACATGTTCTTTAAATAGCAGATATTAAATAATGTTTTCCTCCGTGTTTGTGACGTCACAATGTGAAAATGACGTCAGTATGTAGGTCACTTGTGACAAAAAATGGTTGACTCAGTCGTACTGAAGCAATAAATGGCTGTAAAGTTTAACGTATATCTCGGAAATTCCTTTGCAGTAGAATATGATAATTTATATAAGGCTTATGAAGACAAAAGACTTTCCAGAAGTTCAATCATTAATTGGATTGAATGTTTTAATGAAGGCAGGGAGATGGTTAAAAATGATGTTTGTTCTGTTGCCCTGCGAAGGCAAGCCGGTAAAAAGATGTGTCCTTAGTTGAGCAATTTGTTTTGAAAGATCGCCAAGTTACAGTAAGAAAAATAGTTGAATATCTGAGCAAAAATATAATTATTAAATCCCTAAAATATCGTTAATTTTAGACTTTAAACATATGAGATATGAAAAAAAGAAAAGGCGCCCATACTTTTCCACATTGGATAAACGACGCTCTCGAGACAGAGGACTCGGATTGTGATGGTCACCATGGTAATTCTGGGAAGGGATATCCTTATCCACCCATCCTATTGCCGAAATTTGGCCATTTCTGACAGATGGTCTGTTCTTGTTATAAAAAATTACTTGCATGGTAAGAAATATAAGACTCGGAAAAATCTCTTAGCTTCTGACAGCTACGAAGCATGTCACGATTTGCGCATGGGCAGAACAATGGCAGATGTGCATTAAAATCGGAGAACATTACTTTAAAAAATAATGAACACTGAAACCTCATTTTGTTTCTTTTAAGGAAGTTATTCAATTAGTTCGCGAACTTTTTGATCACCCCTCCTAGTTCTTTTGAATAACATCCTTATGACCTATGCCATCATTTTCAAGGAGTCTATAACCCTTTAAAGATGCTTAGACACAGATTTGAAGTTTTTTCTCAAATTTTCTGTGTAATATCACAACTTATATGTTTCTATAGCATTTCACACGAAAATAAAATGAAAAACTTATTTAATCTGGAAATTATTGAAACTACGAATTTCGGGAGGCGTTTGGTTAACACATCCTTGCACTTTCACAATTTTTAACATTATCCTTAATACTTAAGACAAGTAGCAATTTTGTTGTGTATTAATGAATAATATTACATCTATAATCCATAAAATTCAGAGTATTGTCAGCCCGTGCTCAGTGTTGTGTAGTTGTGTACAGACTTAACAAATTGAATACACCCGTGAAACGTAAACTGTTTTTGTAAACAGGGCACGAGCTCTGTTGTTGTTAATGTTTACGTTTCACCGAGTGTGTTCAATTGTTAAACTCTGCACACACCACAGAGCACGGACTGACAATACTGGTGAGAGGATTTTGCTTTCTACATTTCTACTCTGGAATTTCTGCATTATAGTTTTAATATTTTTCATTAATAAACAACAAAATTGGCTACTTTTCTAAAGTAATAAGGATTTAGTTAAAATTTGTGAAAGTGCAAGGGTTTCAATAACTTCCAGATAAAATAAGATTTTTTTCAAATTTTCGTATGAAATGCTATAGCAACATATAAGTCATGAAATTATACAGAAAACTTGAGTAAATATTAACTTCAAATCTGTGTCTAAGCACCTTTAAATAAGAATTTAAATTTAATATTCTGATATTCTCAAGTATTGTCGTTTACATTTCTTCAATTCAAAACCTCCAGGATGACACACTCAAGGGACTGTGGAACATGCCTTTTTTCAAAGTCTTCATTTAAAGAACAAGGATGTATTTTAACTGATATAAAGAATATAGAAACACCCTCTTGTAGTGAATATACCTTCCATACCACCGCTTTGTAAAAGCTGGGACATTAATTGTTTAATTTGTAATCTTGTAATGTCATCATTTTGTTCCAGCATAATTTGGTTACAAAAGTTTCTTTTCAATATATGATTACAATTCTTACTTTAAAATTTGCATTATTTGATACCTATGGAATCAGGTGGGATGTGGAGGACAATGACATTTTTCAGTTCGTAGTTAAAACAAGAGGCCCATGGGCCACATCGCTCACCTGAGTAACTTTGGCCATGCTGTTCATTACCAGACTCCCCCCTTGTAATACCTATTGTGGCCCCGCCCTACCCCCGGGGGTCATGATTTAAACAATTTAGAATCTACACTACCCCAGGATGCTTCCACATAAGTTTCAGCTTTTCTGGTCCAGTGGTTCTTGAGAAGATTTTTAAAGATTTTTCCTATATATTTCAATGTAAAACTTGGGATTCCCCCTATTGTGGCCCCGCCCTATCCCCTGGGTCATGATTTGAACAATTTAGAGTGAACACTACTTGAGGATGCTTCCACATAAGTTTCAGCTTTTCTGGCCCTGTGGTTCTTGAGAAGAAGATTTTTAAAGATTTTTCCTATATATTTCAATGTAAAACTTGTATTTCCTATTGTGGCCCCGCCCTACCCCCGGGGGTCATGATTTGAACAATTTAGAATCTACACTACCCCAGGATGCTTCCACATAAGTTTCAGCTTTTCTGGCCCAGTGGTTCTTGAGAAGAAGATTTTTAAAGATTTTTCCTATATATATTTCAATGTAAAACTTGGATTCCCTATTGTGGCCCCGCCCTACCCCCAGGGGTCATGATTTAAACAATTTAGAATCTACACTACCCCAGGATGCTTCCACATAAGTTTCAGCTTTTCTGGCCCAGTGGTTCTTGAGAAAAAGTTTTTTAAAAATTTTTCCTATATATTTCAATGTAAAACTTGTATTTCCTATTGTGGCCCCGCCCTACCCCCGGGGGTCATGATTTGAACAATTTAGAATCTACACTATCCCAGGATGCTTCCACATAAGTTTCAGCTTTTCTGGCCCTGTGGTTCTTGAGAAGAAGATTTTTAAAGATTTTTCCTATATATTTCAATGTAAAACTTGTATTTCCTATTATGGCCCCGCCCTACCCCTGGGGGTCATGATTTGAACAATTAAGAATCTACACTTCCCCAGAATGCTTCCATATAAGTTTCAGCTTTACTGGCCCTGTGGTTCTTGAGAAGAAGATTTTTTAATGACCCCACCCTATTTTTGTCTTCTCTTGATTATCTCCCCTTGTGAGGGGACTTGGCCCTTCATTTTTACAATTTAAATTCCCCTTTACCCAAGGATGCTTTGTACCAAGTTTGGTCAAAATTGGCCCAGTGGTTCTTGAGAAGAAGTCAAAAATGTGAAAAGTTTACAGACGGACGGACAGACAGACAGACAGACGGACAGACGGACGGATGGACGACGGACAAAATGTGATCAGAAAAGCTCACTTGAGCCTTCGGCTCAGGTGAGCTAAAAAGGTGATTTTCTTACATTTTTCTCTACAGTTGATCCCTTTTGGAACAGACTACTTACCTTATGATGGCAATTATATAAGGAGAAATTTTCATTGTTGCCGTGAAGCTGCAGAGGATAATGAAGATGATCCAGGGTATGAAAAGAGGACAGTTGTTCTCGCATAATCCTGCCTCCGCCTTACCATCCGGTATACAGGAACAATTAACAAAGATCTACAAATTAAGGTACGCAAATTTCAGTGTCGTTATTCTGGGGCACTGGTTTTTGATTAAAATTCGAGAACGCTTACTCCTTCCAGGCACCCAATCCCACCTCTGGAATTTCCGGGGTCCGTGTTTTATGCCCAGGTTTATATTGTTTGTGGATTTGTTTTAGATCGATCACTGTTCGTTATCTTTACATTCTTTATACTTTTTATATGACAAATGTTTTGATTAAAACATTTTACAAAATCATATTTTATATTCATAAGAGGTTATGCCAGCAACCAATGTTGAACACAAACACTTACACGACCATCTCTCAATATATCCTTACAACCAGCAAAGCAGGGAGAATGGTAGTTCATTTTATTTGATCCACAAATTGGGAAAAACATGTCATCTTGACATGGACAACCACGTGAACAATTGAGAGCGGTATTGTCCGTGTAACCTGGAATACTGGAATTTGAAAATAAAAATAGATGTCAGAGTGTCTGTAGAAACTCATCCTAAAAAATTTAAGATTAAAATTATTTGAGTAACTTTTAAAAAAATCTTTTCAATTCATTACTAAAATTATAGACTGATTGATGTATTATTTGTTGTTAAACGTCCAATTCGAGAATTATTTCATCATATAGAGACGTCCCCCGATTCAGGTGAAGTGCCACATATTTAGAACTACCCCTGTTGGCGCGTAAGGCCGTAGCAGTGAAGTATCTTTATCTTGCCAATACCTATCGTTAAAGGGGACCTCGGATGTTTAGTTTTCATCCGAAATTCCCGTGGCTTTCCCTTCATCGTCGAGAGTTTGGCAAAGGAATAGTCATTACTTATGTAAAACATAACAGGTTTGACGCGGTGCCGGAAATCAGATTTGACAAAGCCAGTACCTAACCACTAGGGTACCGCAACCGGTAATTTTGATGATCTAAAATATAACCAAAATTATAGGAAAAACATAGAATCTGATAGACGATGATCGTTTATTTAGCCTTTGTCACCGACAAAAGAATTTGTTCTTTAAAAATTATATCACACTCTGAGAACCATACATGGAGATTCAACACAAAGCATAAAACACACAGTAAAATTAAAAATGCATTGAATCACACGGCGGATGTGACCGGTCGGTAAGGGATGCTCACTCCTCCATGGCACCTGATCCCACCTCTGATGTTTTAGAGGTCCGTGTTTGCTCTCCTCCAAAATTTGTATTGTTTAATGGACTTTTGAGCTTGAATACTGTTCGGTATCTCCATACACTTCATCATTCCTTTGGCAATGAATGTAATATAAAATAAACAGTGAAATGTGAAGATAAGGAAAAATTATCATGCTCTAAAGTCCGATTAAAAAAAATATAGATTGTGAGCAGAGCAACACGGATTCTAAAAACAGAGTTGGGATTAGGTGCCATGGAGGAGTGAACATCTACTATTGACCACTCACATCCGTCGTGAACTCCTTGTCTTGATCGGGTAGAAGGAAAAATCTGTACACAATTTCATGTGAAAATAATGCCCCAACAATTTGTATTAAAACATCAGTCAACAGTTGACCTAATGATAGATTTTATTTGCAAACAAGGTTATTTTAACGACATTAGAATTTGCGAAATGTTGACTTTAAGAACCCCCTCTACACTGCACACTAGTGAATTCTGGTTCTGTTGTGTTTTTCTGCAGTTGAATGATTTGCCCTTTGATCTAAATTCAAAAACTGAATCTATAGTGTATTACTCAATTTGTAATCAATTCAAGCACTGTTGACATTTTAAAAGGCCAAGATAAATTAACTGAATATTTTGTTTGCCCGTATTTTTTTACTGAAGTGAACAACATTGGTTTCTGTTCATTGATACTTTGTAAGCTTTGTAAGCTTTGAATATTTTTTCCTGGGAGTAAATGCCGCGCATCATGTATCGAAAATTAAATAAGCTCACTATTTACACATTTATACAATATAATTTTCTCAATGTCTAAACCATTTTGCCCTGGTGTAGAGAGGGTACTTAAAAGAGATTGTTGATATCCTTGTATCATCAACTCATTTGTCAGTTATATGCCTTGATTAAGAAATTGATCGTACGTAGAACATACTCTTGCGTATTGAATCTTGAGAGACATAAAACCAGTATACCGGTGATAATAGTACATTTCTACATAACTAAAGGAATTTGACGAAAGAAAAGCTGAAGTCATCGTGTTTACCAAAAACTTCAGTGTTAGTTTGCCATCAATGCCTTTTTCTAGTAAAATATCCAAATATGAAACAGATGTACATACTCTTTGAAGCTTTTGACATAGGGTTCAGTATAATATCGGATATATATCAATGTAGGAATAAAAATGACGATTGTTAATTGAAAAAAAGTTGTCCATACATCTAAATGTTGAAGGTCACAATAAGAGACTTCTTTTCATGTAGAAGTTTTTGAATAATTTTAGATTTAAATTAATTCTTAACAGATCTGCTGTAATAATGTAATTCCAGTACACAATAAGAACCCATGAAAATTCAAACAGATTTTCTGACAACTTTGTCTCCAAAGATCACATAGATATTGTCAATGAGAACTCAAGCTTCTTTGATCGAAGAGATATTCAACTCCCAGTCAATAGATAATTGTTTTATCATACTAATATACACTAATACGTCGGGTATAGGATCCCACCTCCCCTGCAACCACTCTATGCTATAGTTAGTTGTAACATTCTAGCATTGTTTAATTATGTTTAACATTTTGTCATATATGGTTGTTACCTAAAGAAGATGGGTGAACATTGCGAAAAATAAACCTATTCACGACTTAAGACAACAATCGCAAATCGGGATTTTAAATTCCACATTGATTTAACCTGTATTTACAATGGGTACAGTACCGTACTAAAACTTTACCCTAAATGATTAACGCAGACAATGGAAAATATAAAAAGAAATAAAACGAATAAAAAAAGAAAGATATATTCTCCAAAACATATTTAATCAGAATCATCATCGGAGTCAGTTTCACAAGCTGCATCGAGTATATTGGACATTAAGTGGTTTTTTTCTGACACATAATTACATTGATGTCTGGAGTACCCAAGGTACCATATAACGCTGCATATGTGCGCGCAGCATCTTACGGTACTTGCCCCGCATTTACAAGCATTAATTTGTGCACATGTGTGACAGAAATTGAAATTCAGTCTTTCTTGAATACTACCGAAATCACTGGTTGCTATGTTAAAAATGTAACTTCCGTTTTAAAAAGTGTGTTCGCATTATTAAACGCATTGGCAGAAATTTAAATAAAATTCATAAAATGTAAGGGTGTCAATTAGTGTCCATTTTTATACCCACCATGACTTGCGCTTGAAACAGCAAGCATGTTATTTGATGAAATCGAGGGTCAATAGGGCTGAAAATAAAGCGGAATTTCACTATAATAGTGATATACCACTATTATAGCGGAATTTACGTTTCCCCCCAACCTGTTTACACTGACAAAACCAACCAGAAATATCCGTGGATGAATATCTAATCCACAAATTATAAAGAAGTTTACTGCTGTGTCGAGGTTGAATCTTTGCGTGAATTAAATCACTCTCAATTTCGGACACATCAATAAGATATTGTCCATTTTCAAGATGTTCTGAAACGTAAAAATTTGCATGCTTGTTTCAATTGGTAAACGCCAAAAGTTATTTGCCGGACATAGTCCTCAGTGAGGACTGGGAAATCTATGACAATGCATGTCTTTGGCGTCTACACGCCTCCATGTTTTAGAATTTTCACGATATTTTAGAGAGGATACATCATCTAACCCCATTCGTTGAATTGCTGTAGCATTTTCCTTTGACTTAAGGAGCATTTGGTAACCAACTTTAAGATCATCGGCATCATTCGATTTAAGTGGTGGCTTGTATTTTTTTTTAATTATGCTACTCACAATTCTAATATAATCACCAATAAATGGAACTTGACTATTGTGTACTACATTAACCAGATACTTCCATTTTTTGATCCTACCGTTAGCTGCTTCTACTACCCATCGTATTTTGGTCACCAGCCGCGAAGCATTTGCCTCTTCGGTGGTGTGCTGCTTTGCTGACTTTGAAAGGAATGCAAGCATTTCGACTTGAAATCCACATTCTTTAAGAAAATTCAAAAAGTCCCTAAAGCCCCTATCCACAATAAGAATATCTTGCTCTTTCAAAAAACTTGTGAAGTTGCCCTTATTTGTTTTGACAATATGTGAAAGAATAGATGCATCATTGTTACGACCATTGGAAAAGAAGGGCCCAATTGCATCGACAATGTAACCATTGGTGGTTGTAACGATGAAAGGTTTCACAAGAGGTCTACCTTTATATACTGAGTAAGTCAGTCTCTGAAACTTGTAGGAGGGACTTTTCTGGATATAAATGTACGTGCCATCCAATACAAGAATGACTGTATCAGAAATTGGGTCTGAGAACAGTTTTTTTTTATATATCAGTGGTATGATGATCGATTACACACTCTCTTGTCAAATGGTCAAATCCAATATTTAGGGGTACAAAATCTCTAACCATCGCTACACGAGCGCGCTTGACGATTTCGGCAACCTGACGTCTGCTCCCTAGTCCACATAATGTTGCAAGCAAACCATTCGAAAGTCCAGATTTCAACTTAAACAGCAGTATGCCTATTGCATTTTTTATTGATCGTTTTTTTTTTATTTTTTTTTTTTATTTTTTCAAGGAGATGATTGAGGTGGTCAGGTCATCAAAGCTTTCTTTAGAAATGCTTAATAAAGAGTGATGATCCTCTTCACATATCAAGTCAAAATCTATTCTGCCCCGCATGGTACTTAATATTGCTTTAGATCTCTAAGTCTAGAGAGTAAATCAATCAAAAGTAGAGTGTTGTTTTCTATATGATGTGGTATTGATGGTTTGATTTGGATTTAGGTTTTTTCCCAAAAAATGTTTTTTTACAGCATTTGCAACCAACTAAAATACTAAATAATACCAAATAATACTTTTTTTAAATTTGAAATACACAATGTTATAATACAAACATAAACATATAAAATAAACACAATCTTGTCATTGTAGTATTCATTTGTGTGTGTGTGTGTGAGAGAGAGAGAGAGAGAGAGAGAGAGAGAGAGAGAGAGAGAGAGAGAGAGAGAAGGAGAAAGAGAGAGAAAGAGAAAAAGGAGAGAGAACGAAAAGAGAAAAAAGGAGAAAGAACGAACGAGGGAGATGAGTTAAAAAAAAATGTGGGTGACACCTCAATAGAGGAGGAAGCAAAGCTAAATAATTTAAAGACAGGGTTCATCAATGTTAGTTTGAAGTATGGATTGCCATTTTTGCCAGGATGTGTTAAACTCATTTATTTTATTGCATTCTCTGGCTGTATATTTCAATGACTTAAAAAGAATTTTGAAATCATTTAGTAAACCATGGATAGAGAGTCTAAGGTTTTGACAACGAACTCTATAAATGTATTGCTTCATTTACATAAGCAAAATAAGCAAAAAATTTGCCTCGCTCCAACATTTGAATATATTTACATTGATTTTCAGAAGTCCAGCTCAGGAAATCTCTGTTTATAATGAAAGAACAATGATCGTTACTGAGAATAGTCTTACTATTATTGTATGAGTTCTTTATATATGGAGTCAAAAGCGGTGGTATCGCCTTTAGTTTACATACCTTCAAAGGAATTTCGGGTTAAAAAGGTAAGCGCGATCTTAGGCTAATTAAAAACATTCTTCACACCGACAAAAGATTAATGATTATTTGTTAAATGAAAATATCTGTATGTTTCAATAATTTATCTTTTTCATTGCTTAAACAACTTAGAAGTTCCGAAGCCAGTTTCACCGTGACAGAAATATGTAGGCAAGATACCATATGCATCTCGCTGTGTGATTCGGTCACGGTATGGCCCCGGACTCCCTTATAAGTTCATACAGAATTAAACATATTTTCTCTTCAAAAGGTTCATCTAAGAAATATTTGCAAATGTAAATATTGTGATTTATTCCTTTAAATGAATTCTAAATTTCTTTAGCACAACAGTCTTCACCTCGCATCGGATAGCAATATTTTTTCGCAGGATAACAATTTCACGTTACCCTAAAAAAACATGTAACATTTTCATAATGTTTAATTATCAAAAACTAGCAATTCATTATATAAGTGCTTTTGTAGTAAAATCACCAGTATTTGCGTACTTTAATAGTTTGCTATTTATTTACGCAGATGGAATTCTTTGGTGTTGTGGAAATCACCAACCGATCTAATTACAGGAAATATAATATATTTTTTTCAAAATGTTAATTAAAATTGACAACACATTTTATACCTCAGGGTAAAACTTTGCTAAATAAATGAAAGGTAATGACCAAGATCTGCCCCCAAAATCAAACTTTGGTAGAGAAACTTATAATTATATTCTAAATCAGGGAGATATCCGCAGACTAAAGAGCATTACCTATTTTATCAGCTAAGACGTCATATGGTAGATATGACGTCTAGAAGATGACGTAAATTCATATTTTCATTGATATTGAGATAAAAAAAATGTATTTTTAGTCGATATTTTTATTAAAAGTCACCGAGCGCAGGTCTGCCCAAGCTCTATTTTTTATATAATGTGTAGAATTTTATCAAGCAAATATGTTAATATTGTTCTGGGGCAAGCTTGTGCTCAGTAAATTCTATACTCAAAATTGAACAAATTTTGTCCTTTTTTCCTTTATCTTTTAAATAATGGAAAATTCAAATAATTGACGTCTCAGAAACACTCAATGATGATAATCTACTTCCAGACTTTAATAATTTTTGTCAATTAAGAATTTTCATAAAATATATACAGCTGAGAACATTTCAGAGATTTTCAAAATTTGCCTCTTATGTGGGCAAAATATGCTTTTACAGCATATAGTTTTTTCATACTATGAAAAGAAGTTATTTATTATTTATTAAACTTCTAAAATTTATATAGAAAACTTTTTAATAAATTTTTAGGGAAGTAAACTATAATTTTGGACAGATTGAAGTCGGATTTTATGTTCGGCATAAGACAACTAACCTGTATTGAAAGTTAAATAAAGCTATTTTGAATCATATAAGAATAAATGTGATTCTGTAGACACCAACCTTTTCTAAAAAGCTCACTTGAGAAAAACTCTTTTAGAACTGAAATTCGAAATATTAATGCATTTTGTATACCTCTTAAAGCGTCTTCTTAAATCTTTTCTGTGAAAACTAATATTGAATGTTTTTCTGAATAATGTAGCTAGGCATGATACATTACTTTATTTAAGAAATAAGGTATCATTTTTAAACATCTATCGGGATATAAATACGGGTTGGTCACGAGATCAAATTCCATAAAGCCCGAAGGGCTTTATGGTAAATTTGATCTCGTACCAACCCGTATTTATATCCCAATAGATGTTTAAAAATGATACCTTATTACTTATATTTACATTTGTGACTTATTCATATCATATATTAGCCTGATTATAACCTTTAACGCGTGAAATGTTTTATTTTTTCAAACTCAACGGCACAAGTTTGATCTATTGATTGCGCGTCGACCCTTTATGACGTCACTGAGAAATTACGTCGAACGTTTATGACGCGAGGAACCCGTGTTTATACGGATATAGATACGCGTTGCTTTTAATAGTGTTATATAAAAGAAAACATTTGCAAATGTAAATATATGATTATAAAAGTTGTTTTCTTTTAAGTTAATTATCCGATGAATAAATAAAAACAAAAATTGCAGAACAATTAAAAATATGAGAATTTTAAAAGAAAAATGTTATGAAGCTATTAATTAAGTACGTCACCTACCTTTTTACATAAAAACAATCTTGCACTTACTTTAACTTTGGACCAATTATATTGGATTGTGGGCAACTCATTGTCATAGCAAGGGCCGTGAAAATCATATTCAAGGTGTAAATCAGTAATATCATCCTGTAGACATTTCTCGGCGTCATATTGATTTTCCTTGTGAGGATTCCTCCCAGAATTGACCCGGAGGCTAATGCACACATTTGTGCTCCAGCTAAATTAAAAAAGAAAAAAATATAGAATATATAAATTAAATTTGTAGTGCCAAAACAATTCAATAAAAACAATGTTACCATAGAAAATTGCAAAATATTTTTTAATCAGTAATCACACAAAAGAAATGATTTTTGTAAAGTGAGGAAAGCTGTAGAACTTTGTTCTCACCCAGTATGTAATTAGCACGGTATAGTGGAATATTGAAATGTGTCTTTGTGAATTTTGATAGAAAGCTCGACCATCCTCCTTCCCCCATGAGGTTGATGACTTCACTAGCAGACGTTAGAAGAAAAACTGGGTTTCGGACAACCTTTCCGTATCCCTTCAAACTCACTTAATGAATAGATCATATTAGTTAACAGTTTCATTTATATGCATTTCAAATTATGTAAATTGCCCTGATCTGATTTTGTGTTAGAGATATATATTACACGAAAAATAATGTGTGGTTCTTAACGATATGGACTCAATAGTTGAAGCTATAGGTATTAAGTATTCACTAGTAAGCGTTCCAGTTTTCGATCGGATAAATTTAGCTGTTAAAATATTTGAGTATGAAAAGGAACTTAACATCCCATTGGTCATATTTTCAATTGAATATTTAATCCCAACTACAAACACACGCCTCTTTCATATCTATTTTCTCAACGAGGTGTTAAGTCTATTATTTTCATATTTATAAAGAAAAAAACTATTTGATGGATTTTTGAGGACAAAATTGATATTCACGATGTTCATAAAAGTACAATATAAGCCTAGTACAAGCTTGGCACAAATTTAGAGAGAAAAAAAATAAAGAGAGGTATGTTAAAGATCTGGTGTAACACTTTGTCTAAATTTTGGATCAATATTGAATCTCAGGGTACAGAAATGCCAGAAAAAACAACAGATTTTGTGGTTTTGTCGATTTTGACCAATTCTTAAAATTCGAGATTCACTATTTGATTTGCAAATACACGAGACAAACCTGCCAGTCTAAAATTACATGTAAACATTAAAGTTTATAAATTTTTCACATAGTCTTGCTTGATTGCTTTGCTTTCTAAAACAAAAAGCATCTTTAATTTAATGAAAAATTAAATGAAAGTGAGGACATTCAAAACCTGACCAAATCTGTTCTCTCTTACCAAGTCAGTTACCGTCATGAAAGGTTTCACAAACTAATACTCAGAATTGAATCGAGAATAATCAAAGATCTTCATTATGGACTTAATATTATTTTTATCCTAACTCTTTTTTCTTATTTACATTTTACTCACTTTTTAATTTCTCCAAAAATGAGCATTCCTCAAAAACTGGTCTTTCGTGAATTTTGCCTTTAGCAATGTCTTTTGAGGACATTTTTAGGTATTTGGGAAACAATACAAGAGGGGAAGCTAGAAGAATGGACACAGTTCCAAAGACGAGAAAACCCAACCACCATGCTCCGATCCAGCGTGGATCCTGCGGTTCCATATCAACAACTGTTACACAAAGAGGCAAGATTTAAAATGATGTAAAAGACATATATGAACGCATTTCAATTTCTCTGCTTAGGAGAAAAAATGAGTGAAAAGCTGATTTGTGCTATTATTTGACATTTCATGTACAAGGCACTCTTAGGTTGTGGCTGCTCCACTTTGATAATAATAATAATTTTAAGAGTCATCCTTTCTTGCTGAGGATCGGATATCCTTACATGCACATTTTTTAAAGAAATGTAATGCATCTAAACAAAGACACAATCAAAAGATAAGATGAATTGTGCAAAATTATAGTAGTTATATTCATGGTTGATACCTAACTTGTAGAAAATAACTGCTACCCCTTTGGCACGAATAAAAACCTTAATGCAACTAGACATGCTTGAATTTAATTTTCAATTTTTGTTTATTTGAGTACCATTCCCTCTGGAGAACCTTCCACATACTAGTATATATTTTTTTCAGTTGATGGCATGTTCTGAGCAAGGGTCTTCTTTATTCAACCCCAGATTTTGTACAAGGGTTTCAATCAGAGCTATTTCCTGGCCACGGAAGGGTAGAAACTGCATTGTGTTTGAGAAACTTTCTTGTGTGTGTGTGTGTGTGTTTTTTTTTAGTTACGACGATATACGAATAACTGTTGAAATACAAATAATTTTCTGGAATCTACTAAGCAAGCACACATGGAAGTAACATCTTTCAGTATCTTTTCCTGATGAAGATAACGAACATTATCGAGCCGATTTTGAAGTTCCTTTTGAAGATTTTTAAATTCAATGCTTTAAAACAGCACTATTCAAAACATTCTCCTGATTTAAACATAATTAAAAATATCTGAGGCCGAATAAAGGACGATCTTTTTTCAGAACACGCCAACGACTCAAAAAAGATAAGTGGAAGGCACTCTAGCGGGAATGGTACTCAATTTGTGCAAAAACAAGAGAAACTTAGAACTAATAAATGAAAACTCAATCATGAACATAAAAACTATAATGATTCTGTAAATTCATCAAAACTTTCGTTCGCGTGTTTGTTAATAGACGCATTGTATTTCTTTAAAAATGTTCATATGATTTGTTCACAAAAACATGTTAGGTTAAAAAGTTTTTGAGCTGTATGTGATATATATAATATGATTAAAATCTTATTCTTGGAAGCAATTTGGCAAAATGTGGTCAAATATATATTCAAGCATTTCCAGGTATTCTAGATTCAAGTTAGTTAAACCATGAACCATTGGAGTATGCAGGAGTATACATAGAACTGTATCCAAATATGAATTAATTTTTAAATTTGAACATATTTGTGTCCTTTCACTGAAGTATGATTTGTGGCACGTCTGGTTTTTAACAATCCTGTGGATCTGGGGCCCGTTTCATCAAAAGTCGTAAATTCAAGACCTAACTTGGGTGTACTTCGGGGGCTTACGCCAAAATTTAGTCGGGTGTAATTTGCGTTTCACGAAGTAGCGTAAGACTAGTCGTAAACAATACGCTTAGTCTCAGGACTAAGTCCTTGACAACGCTGCACTGCACATGCGCAAAAAACATAAACATACGTATTGTGTACAATGCAACACACAATGTTGTTCTACATACATTGTACACAATACGGTCACGTATACATTAACTTAAATGAAAAACTACATGAATTTTTAGGGACCTTGAAGAAAACATACATCTTAAATCTACTTATTATAAAATATTAACTACTTACAACATATACCATCTGATTAACTCCAAAATTAAAGGTCAAAGAAAAGAAATAAACATCTTATAAATGTATTTATTTCGGAATATTTACATCCCCCCGCCTCACCCCCCCCCTCGATATTTTGATACAGGAAGAGAGAAAGAGAGAATCCGTTACAATTGTATATACTTGTAAATATATGTAACTGTGCATATGATGGACTAGTCTACTAAATTATTAAGAATCGATAAAATAATACAAAATATGCATTATCATGAAAAAATAAAGACTTTTTTCTATTTTTCTTTGACATTACTGTGTACGCCATTCCGTTTGTTCCTAAAAATTGTAGTATTATTATTTTTTTTTTTAATGTGGATTCTTTTTATTTTTCCCAATAAAGAAAGGCAAGTACCATCGATATTCATTTTGAAATTTTCAGAAATGTATCATACATTGTTTAAACATTAATATATTGTCATACATGGGCGTAATAATTGTAAAATTACAGTCGTTTCTGAGTCAAGTTTCTCCGATTGCTGATTTTCAGAATCTACCGAGTGACTTTGTTGCCCCTTGCCCTTCTTGAGGTAAAATTCTCTCTCATTTGTATTCTGTATTAGAAAAAATTTGACGTTCAAGTATTTTTACCTAATCAACTGGAATCTTTTTCATCTTTTGAGAAATGGACCCCCTCCCTGACCTCCCTCTAGGTCCACGCGTGTAAACGTGGAGTGAATAAGATATGGAGTTTTCGAGAACGATAATTTTTTTAAAAAGCCTATACTTGGTTTTACGATGAGTTAAAAAAAAATTGTGTTTTTCAATTATAGATATTAACCATGCAAAGCTAATGAAGATAACTGTGCTTTTGAGGGAAAAAAATACTTTTTTCCACACAAAAAATATGTTGGGAAAATAGCTTTTTTTTCAAAATGGACATTTTTAATATGTTTCTTTTCAGTGAATGACACAGTATCTGTATCGTGTAGTGGATTTGCAATACCTCCTCATACTCAAAATACAACAATCAAATGCATATAAATGCAGGATTGTCAAAACTTAAGATATGGTGTTAAAATGAATCTCTAATAAGGCAATCTTTTATGAAGAAATTTATTAAAGTAAGTTATGTAGATACTGCATGTCAACTACCTCCCGAAGTGGGTGTACCCCCCTCCCCAATTTCCGCTCTCCCAAATCTGCATAGTTTCTGAAATGAAATTATGCATCGTTTGTATTAAAAAACTTCTTAGAACCGTAATTCCTCTTGAATGAATGGCTAAATCGTTTTCAAATCAGTAAAGTCGCTTTATTTTATGTTTACGCCCAAACTTACGCCTACCCATGAGTAGACGTAAAATTTGGGCCTAACTTTAGTACGGTGTAAAGATACGCTGTTTAATGAAACGCAAATCTTTGTGCTAGTCCCGACTTTACGCCGGCGTAGCGCTACGACTGGGCGTACGACCTTTGATGAAACGGGCCCCTGAAGACTAAGAAAAACGAGTTGTAAATTTTTTTAAAAGCACAAAATAGATCACTGAAAGACTGGGAAACACCGAACACACTTTGATCAAACAGTATTCTTGAGTCTTTGGAGTATGTGAGTTAAAAATACCAAATTTCCTCTTTCTTCGTGTGTTTTGGAAGAATAAAGAAATGAAAGTATGGTTATAAGTGTTTTAAATCAATTACTCTGTCTTTATCTCGAGAACAACCACAATAGATATAACGCAGAGTTCTAGATAATCTCTTCAGCAGATATACTGTGCTGTATTTCTGTACGAAACCTAAGGTGGAAAATGTACATAGAGGAAGAATTCCTTCTAGAAGACATTTTTAGTATGTAGAGAACCCAGGTACACTTTTAGTAGAGTATGGACAGTTACTGCCTCAATATGAGTAAAATTACCTTCCAGAGTCACATACAGTCTGCTGAAGTATCCTCCGAGTATAAATGATATTGCTGGACCGAAAATAGACAATCCGATGACAATACCTAACATTGGGATAAAGCAATATGTTAATTACATATTTCATTTTCCTGATTAGGATACTTAATATAAATGTAGGATACAAATAGTAGGTATCATTATAAACAAAGAACTGAATATGACTTCTGAAACTTTAGATTATATAGATCTAAATATATGTATCAAAGAAATAAATACCTAAGTAAAACCCAGTTTTTCTTCTGTCAATGTTATCGTCAACATACTCCATGTAATATGGAGACCGTGGAGCTTTTCCTATGCCTTGCAGGGCCATTCCAATTCCAATTAAGGCCAGTGCAAGATTTCTCATTGAATAACTCGGTGCATGTAATATTTTATTATTCTGTTCCCTATTATTTTGGCATTCTTCATCAGAGGAATTAAACTCTGGTCGACAGAGGATGTTTGTTTTATCGTTTTCTGTGCTTCCATTTCTAAGGACCGAATCAAGGTTGTGGGTAGGCACTAGACTTCTAGAAAGAGCGATGAAGTGAGGGAGACTGCATACCAGGCCAGAAATTCCGAAAAGTAATATACTCAGAAATAACGTGCGTGGGATATGAACAAACCTAGCAGACGCAGAAACAAATAAAATAACCGCGAAAAATCCTATATCATTGAAGGCAATAAGTAAGCCGCTTTGAGCGCTATTGAAACCAAATTGTCGCTCAAGGTTTGGTACCTGAGTATTAATGTAAACACTCAGAGTCTGAGACACAATGCCTACAGCACTACACACTCCTACAAATGCATTGATGTTTGCAAAATGCTGGAGAAATTTGGGTCGAAACTTTCCAATACCACACTCCATGCTGTTTTCCTGTTGCATGCACATATAAACAATGAAGTGTACCCCTTTTGAATTCACAAGTATACGTAGATAAATTTTTTCCTAGTGCATGTGTTGCATACGATATTTCGAATTATGAAACTGTTAATGTTTGAGACACATGACATTGCATAGAAACACACAGACAACAGGACATAAGTCTGAACGCTTACATAATAAAATAAAAATGTACACTTTATTTGAAATCAGAATTGGGATTTGTTCAAGAGAGCTTCTTAGGTTACACCCCTCCATTTCTCTGGTATGGAAATAAAATATTTTTACAACAATTTAAGAGGCCCAAGGTCCACAATTCTCACCTGAGTTAATTTTTCTGGTATTCTTCAGAAGATTCTAATCAAATCCCCCCTCTTTATTTCCAAGAAATTTTTTTACTCCACACTATGGCCCTAATTCGTAGCATCAAGGGACCATGGCTTAAAAAACTTGAATTAATAATACACGAGGATTCGAAACATCAGTGTAACTAACATGGCCTTGCTGTTTTGTAGAATTATTTTTTATTTAAAGATCTACTATATATACACGTATTGTAAAAAAAAAATTGATCCCCAGTGTCCATAATTCAAAAAACTTGAATCAATAGAATCTAAAAGTGTATGCATATAAGTAGGATTAAGTGTCATCTTACTACTCTCACAATTTGCAAAAACGATTCCTTTATATTCCAATGTAAAATTTAGAGGGAAAAAATATGCCAACCCCTTTTTACCCCAAGAGGTCTTGAACTGAAAAAATATGAATATGCACCAAAGATTCTTTTTGTATAATCCAATTATTATATCAATAATTATTATATCAATATAATTTCGATTACTTATTGTGACCAACCAAACCCTCGGACGATGGTTTGTTGAACCACCCTGCCCCCAGAGTAATGATTTGAACAAACTTGCTTACATAATAATATTAATCAAGACCTTGTTGTTCTTGAGCAGTAATGTTTTAAAGATTTTTTTCTATATATTCTTTCGTTAAATGAACAATTTGAATCTGCATTACATGAGGCACTTGCATAACAATATGGCTAATTGTTCTTGAGAAGAATATTTCCTATTTATTCCATTAAAGACTGTTTCCTATACATTCCAATATGAACTTTAATCCCCTATTGTGACAACACCCTACCCACCCACCCCCCACAAATAGCCCTGTTCTTCTTGAGAAGATTTTTAAGGATTGTTTCTTATATATTTCAATGTAAAAGGTTGATTCTTTAATAAGGTCCCGGGCAGAACTACCTGAGGATGCTTGCATACCAGTTTGACTTATCATTGCCTTGCAGTCCTTCTGAAGAAGTTTTACAGGTTTTTTTCTATAAATTCTGATCTCATCCAACCCCAGGAGACATGCATGTTTTAACAAACTAGTATGTACACTACGTCAGTAAGCTTCACACAAGGCTACATTGGTTCCTGAAAAGATTTTTATAAGACCCCCATAAGACTCCTATTTTGCCTTTTCTTGATTATCTCCCCTTGAAAAGGAATGCCGCCCTTTATTCGAATAAATCTGAGTCCCTTTTATGCGGCTTAGGATACTTTGATGCAAGTCTGGTTGAAATTGGCCCATTTGGTTCTGGAGAAGATGAAAATTTGATGGGTACAAAAGCCTATTAGGAACAAAATATGGGGGAAAGTTTGAAGTGTTATAACGCAAAGTGAAAAGGCCTACTTGCACCAAAAAGACGAAACAACGCAAAGTGAAAAGGTGTTACAATTTAAAAAAAATCCTAATAATGCCAATAATCGGCGTTTTAATGCCTTTTGAATAGGCGTAATAACGCGAATAAAAGGAGTAATGATGGATTTTTAGACGGCATTGTAACGCCTTTCCAAACGACCTTATTACATCTTTCCAATAGGCGTTATGACGGAAAATGGAAATGAGAATTGCTTTACTATATCATAATAATCATTTGAGGCTGGTGGAAAAGCATCTCAATTTATGCAATACCTAATTCAATATCTTTTTTTTCTGTGCTCCTGCATATCCAGCAGGAAAATGTTTGAATGAGTATGATGAAAAACAACCCTCTAAAAATTTTTGAATATCAAGCCTAGGTTGGGGTTGAGCTCACTATACATGTACTTTTAAAAGTTATTTAACATTTGAAAGATCTTTTTTTTTTTCGTGGATACCAAGCAAGCAAACCTTTGCATGTGTACAATGTCTTGACGACATTTCCCCCCAATTTAAAATAATACTTGCACCTTAATTAATTTGACCAATTGTTCTGTAGACAAATGATCTGTGAAGAGTGTTTCAAACATAAACTTTGATATGAGTGTAAACCCGGGCAAGGACTTCAGAAAGTTGCTAGTACTAGTATATAAATGGGCCATTTATTGATTTGTAATTCTTGCCAACATTATTTATTCACTGAGCCCAAGCTATTTGTTGAAGAAGATGGCAGTACTAAACATTAGATTCTATTTGAGAGGTCAAGATTGCCTAAGGATCAATCTCAGGAATGGAAGTCTGACATTTGATCTCTGTATCTGAATATCTGAGAAGATAGGAAAGATAGCATCATAGTTTATTTAATGATTACTAGGATTGTGTATCGTTTGGGGAAAAGTGTCATGATTCATCATGATCTTTCAAAAAATAATGCATCATTGATATATCACAACTCATTGACTGACTTTACCACAATCATTATTTCTGTGGTATTGAGAAAGGAAAATGTAGAATTAAATATTTTTACAACAAACCTAATTCTCACAATTTTTTATACTTTGTAACTAAAAAAAGGTTAAAAGAAAATAAATGTTTAATTTTTTCTTATAATTTCTAAATGAAATATATGGAGATAAAGAACAGTATTCAATCTCAAAAGTCAATCAAGAGAAGAGAAAACACGGACCTTTAAAACATCAGATGTGGGGTCAGGTGCCATGGAGGAGTGAGCATTCCCAGCCGACCAGTCACAACCGCCGTATGCTCCTTGTCATGATCCGGAAAAAACGGAAAAATCCATAGACAATGCAGTGTGTAAATAATGGCCTCACATTATGAAAAACGTCAGTTAGCAGTTGACTTAGTGAGAAGATTGAATTGAATTGAACATATTTTATTGACAAAGTCAAAAGGATCGGACACAAGTTCAGAAACTTAGATAGTCTTCTCCTGATAAAACATTTTGTAAAATTGCCAAAATAAAAAACATATATACATATGGTCTACTACATATACATCGTAGTAATAGAAAGAAAAAAAAGTTCTTTAAGTGTAAAAGTACAATTTGAATTGGTAAGAAGAAGAAAAAAAAAGTAAGCTTAATTTGAAAAACGACCACATTCATTTAAGAAGGTTTGAATAGTTTTGAAAAGTTCAGCATTTTGTTCAATAGTAAGAGAATCTAAGTTTTGTAAATAATTAGGTTCTAAATTATTGTGCATTTTATACATTGTTATTAGTTTTGCTCTGTTTCTTCTGTATTCCAATGGTTCCCAACCTGTTTCCAAATATTATGAATTTCTTGAAGCAATAATTGTAAGCCCAGTAACTATTCTTGCAGCAAATAATTGTACTTTTTCAAGATTCTCAATGTCTGTTTTTGTGCATCCAGACCAAACTTCAACAGCATATTCAAGTTGTGGTCTAATAAAAGATATATACATCTGGGATAGAATATCTCTTGACACAGTAAATTTTAGTTTTTTAAGAAGCCCTAGTTTTTTGTATGCTTTCTTTATAATGATATCAATATGATCAGACCATCCTAAGTTGGACGACAGAAGTATCCCAAGATGTTTGTGTTCTGTAACATATTACAATTGGCAATTGTCAAAAAATAATTTAGGAAACTGCTGCACATTTTTTGAATTAAAAAATACAGCTTTGGTTTTCTGTGGGTTAAATTTCAATAACCATTTCTTTGACCATTCATCTAGTATTCTAAGATCATGGTTAAGATTTTGTTCAATATGATTAATATTATCTGAAAATTGTTGTAAGGAATTATCATCAGCGTATAATCTACAAACAGATATCATATTTTCAGCCACATCATTTACATACAATAAAAATAACAAGGGACCAAGTACTGAGCCCTGAGGAACTCCAGCTTTTAGATGTCCTACAGAGGAAAAGTGATTTCTATACATGACTTGTTGTGTTCCATTGCTTAAATAACTATCAAACCAATCTAGCATATCACCATTGATTCCATACATTTTTAGTTTGTAAATTAAGCCTTTATGCCAGACTCTATCAAATGCCTTGGATAAATCACAAAACACCATACAACAGAATTTACCTTCATCAATACTTTTTACTATAGAATGGTATGTTTCTAAAAGTTGATATATTGTGGAATGACCTGGTAAAAAACCTGCTTGGTATTTATAGAATATATTATGTGAATACAGGAAATTGTATACATGTTTAAAAATGATTCTTTCAAAAATTTTGCTTATACAACTCAGCAAAGAAACTGGTCTATAATTTGTAATGATGGAAGGGTCATCTTTCTTAAATAGTGAAAGAACATGTGCTAGTTTCCAGCAGTCTGGAAAAGTTTATAGTGTTAGGGATTTGTTGAATAGTATACGCAAAGGTTTTGAGATAGTGTCTTTGCAAGATTTCAACATTTTATGGCTGATGCAATCAGGACCAACTGCTTTATTAACAGGAATAATAGAAATTATATCAATAATTTCCTGTTCTTGTATTTTTATATCCGGAAAATTATCCTTACATCTAGACACCATATTTGGGAGCTCCTGATTACTGTCATCTAAGACTGTAATTGATGTGAAATATTTGTTCAATAGTTCAATTTTATCTATGTCTGAAAATGCAAAACTTTCAGTGCCATTGTTGGCTGTAAACTGAATAGGTGGAATTTCATTTGTTGGTTTAATGTGAAAAGTGTCTTTCAGTAACTTCCAGTATAGTTTTTGATTGTTCAGACTAGCATCCTTAAGATGAGAATCTATATTGTCATAATAGTTTTTG